ATGTATATATGCATACAGTTGAAATAGGTATTTGTTTATTCGCGTAGTGTAGTTCTCGTTTAAAGAGAGAACCCGAATTTTGATTCGAATAAGGAATTATATGGTGGAATTTACGATGCTGAGTGTGCTAAGTTGATCGAGAATTTTATTGGTGCCCATCAAGTGAGTATCTTGTCCGCTGTGGGATAATTACTATAATATTTTTTTTCTCTGCTTGAAATATAGTATGGCTTTAGACATTGCAGGGTTCCTCGGAACTATCTAGCTCCGGACTCGTAGCATTGGATGGTTCATTGGCTTCACTCATACTGGCCGTCGAAACTTCACTGTTACTGCGACTGCCTCTCGTTGAAGCTTCACTATGACTCCTGCTGCTTCCTTCTGTGTCTATATTCACTATTTCTGACTCTACCTCCACAGTCATGTTCGTGTTCGTCGATGCTCTGGCTATCTTCAGTTTGAATTTCTCGCCGTCTTGAGATTCCCCCGATCGGGAGGAATTTGAAGCCACCACCGTGACAGGCGGTCCCTGTAATGATAGCGCTGTATCGGGAGATCCGGATGAAGTCATCGACCGACTCTCGACATTCTCTTGCAGCTGCTCGTCATTATCGGCGGCCTCGACATCTGGATCGTCCCGCCAACGCTTAGGGCGGAGCCGCCGTTGTACTGTACTCCATTGACTCTGCACAAACGAGTCCTCAGCACTTGTTATTACATAAGCATAGAGGGCTCCAAGAAGGCCCACTAACACCGAGAAGATTGCAATAAACCACCGTTGTTCGTAAAAATATAGGACACAAATCGTCACCGCGAATCCTATAATCTGCAGAGGAAATCCAGTCTTCGCGTAGTTTTTGGTGTCGTACCGACCAGGTCCCATCACCATTAGCGACGTTTTGTCGCCAGATGGCAGCATGAAGCTGTGAGAGGCCCCCATTAGCACTGCGTACACGACTTGCGTATAGTACGAGGTCTCGGCTATCGATGAATCTCGAAGGATGGGAAGCAGAAGCGCTACGGCCGCATTGTTGTTGATAAATGAAGACAGTAGAGTTGCGAAGAGGTAGAAAACTAGATAGATCAGTATTTCACTTAAATCTGCTGTGATCGTTGTGATGACATCCGCCATTCTCGTCGTAAGTCCACTAGTCTGCATCGCAGCCGCCAATCCGAGAGCACCCATAATAGTCATTAATACCTTGGCATTTTTAAGAAAGACGCTCCCGACAGTTCCAAAGGTGATGACCAAACTGGCAATCTGAATAGTGACTACTCCCAACAGGATCCTGTTTTGTTAGTATAAATTTGTAATTAGTGCAGCTCCACACAGTTCATTGGAAAACATTTGAAAGCCACAGAATAACATACAGAGAGTTCAAACGACGAAAACTTACCTTGCAAACTCGTTGACGAAGATGTTCAGGACGATGGCACCCGCAAATATAACAGTGTTGAACGCTATCAACCAAATATTGATGCTTTTTGTTTCTACCTTTGTGCCACATGTTTCGCACTTTGTGGCCTTGATGCCAAGTTGAACTACTAAGCTGAAATCTTGAGAATTCTCTGCAAGTTCAAGAAATCTCTCGTCGGATTCTACAATCAGAAGATCCCGGGGCATCAATGGCAGCTGTAACTGCTCTACATTCCCAACTATTAGGGTGCCGCCCCGATATACTTGGAGTATGAGAGCGCTATACTCTTTGCGTAGTCGGTCCCGATACGCGCCAAATGTGTCCAAACTGGGGCCTACGTCAGCAATAACGACTTCAAACAATCGACCTGATGATCCCTGATGTTGGTCGGGAGCGAGCTTCACCAAACCGTAGCAGCACTTTACACTGACGAGCCTCTCTAAGGACCCAGCAAATGTTAGGGTGTCCCCCACCCTGAAGGTAGTACTTGGCCGCAAAGGAAATGCACAGGTCCCATCATTGTGGTCCACTCGCTTAAGTTGCAACTCGGCAGAATCATACAGACCAACTTCATTAGCGGTTTTACCGACCAAGAAATGCCCGTCCGGAATCTCAAAGCGAACAGCATACGACATAATATCATCAAAATCGGCATCGTCGTCCTCCGGTAGAGATATTTTGTTTTCAGGCAATAATCGGTGCGAAAAGAACATAAGATATAGCACACCAAAGCCTAGCACACTCAGACCTAATGGCGTGATGTCAAAAGTTCCCAGATTAAGCCCCGAGATATTGTTGGCTACCAAATTAGTACTGCTTCCGATCATAGTGCAAGTTCCACCCAAAACCGATGCATAACTCAGCGGTATCATCAACTTCCCGACGCCCCTAAAAATGTGGTAGGAGGAATAAATGTTAAGATTGGTTTATCGTTTTGGACTCACGGTCATGTAAGCCTGAACTTATTGAAATGATACTAGTAGCATACTTTACAACGAAAATGACACTCGATACTCGCAAACTTGTTGGGAGCGACAGATAGGACAATGAAGGACTAATCAACGATACGTTGCACCCGCTATAGCTGTATACTACAGTATATATTGCTTCGCTTCAAACACGAGTTCACCCCATACCTGTTATGACCGACAGCCCAACGGATTAGTGTGGGAATGAGTACAGCAACTACGGCAGAGTTGTACATAAATCCGGATAACATCGGTACGAACACACAAAGGACCGTGATGCATCTTTCAACGCTGCCAGTCTTTGGCAGCAAGTGCCGCGTTAGGATATCATCTAAGCCTGCCTTTGCCAACCCATGCCCAATAACTAATAATAGTGCTATTGTGAATACTGTAGTGTCTGAAAACGCCTCCAAAATTACATTTATTGTGGCTCCTCCAAAGAGTATGATAAATATGATAGGGATGAGAAAGCATGTGTGCGGTTCTAACTTCTGACTGAGAAGCAGAATGACTGTCGCTACTAAGGCGATGCCTACGATCACTGTTTCGTACGTCGTGTACTCTCCCACATCTAATTCCCCAGCCATCGTATGCGATGCACTGGCCTTACGAAGTTAAATTGTGGTATGCTCTGGCCTTACTAAGTTGTAGATACGATCAATTTAGGCAGAATTCAGTTTTTGTATATTGTATGCAATGTGTATTCTTCTGTGGCTACTCTGGTTGTATAGCTCGTATCTCATAGTCGATTGAAGTTTGTTTCTGTCATATAGTTGTACAGAAGAGTATCATAAAGTACACCACAGCAGATAAGTTTTTTTTTGTGGCGAGAATGTGTCGTACTGTCGGGTGATGTTTGCTCATTAAGCGAATAACAAGAATTGGGATTTCAACTCTTATATAGGATTCGATCCGCTGCCTCTGTATAGATGTTCCATGGTCTCAGAGACTCGCACTAAATTTAAATTTAAATCATTGTACATGAAATAATATTACAATATATAATCACTTGTTGTTGCTGCATATCCAGTTGGATTAGGTGTATTTTTCAAACTTTGACCTTGTGACGGTCCTCAAGAGTCAAAGACTCTCGAGTCTCGAACTCTCGACACTATTCACAGTTTCAGATTCGGAGTTGAAATATTGTTTGTACATGCAAACATACTCGGAGAGAGAACAATAACAGCTCTCCTTCTCAGTAGTAAAATTCTACCACACATTCACAATACGAAATAGTCAAATAGAATAGGGATAAATCTATTAATAAATAGGGATAAATTCTATTAATATTACTTTAAGACGGAATAGACAAATAAAAACGCAACTCTTTTTCTATAAATATCCTATATATATAAATAAGTACCGTTTATGGCTACTGTTGGGGCGAACAGCCAAGCTGCACGACCGAATAATGTTTATATAAAGTTAACCACACAAATCACAAGACACAGGTACACACTGTACCAAGTTCAATACAATAAGTTAAAATATCAGATCAAGCCCATAGGAATGGCAACTATAAAATAAATATTAGTGTTGGCACTGGGCAACACAGTGAGAACACCAAGAAAAAGCATATGAAAAATTTCACAGCACATGATGAACATCTCGTATATTAGATGAGACCATATATCTATATATCAGATATCTGTCCAATTAAAATACTTTCCGCTTACACTTATCCGTCACTAATCAGGAACCACACTCCCAAATCCCAATCTTCTATTCTCTCTATTTTTAGTTAATAATATTTCTAGAATGAGTTATGAGGGATCACTGATGATTCAATATCCATAGAGAGAATCAAAAAATCTGACAACATATGTGTACGTCTAAAAATATGAAAATGGGTTTTTTTAGAACAAAAAGTAGCCTGCGTCCTGCGGTCAGACCTGTACAGACCTTTACTTTTTTTTACTTTTTACTTTTTTTTAGGCCTTGGGGCTGGGGGAGTGGGGGGCACTGTGGTCTAGGGGCTGGCGGCTGGGGGGCGAGGCTGCGGGAGTGCGCCAGTGCTAGGGGGTAAAAAGTTATATATATAAATGTGTGCGTGAGTGATTTCAAGGTATTTATTTGTAGCTATAGTATTGGTCGGCGAATTGACTATTTGGACATTCCAATAATTTGAGATCTGAACTATATAAATACAATCAGTATTGACATATTTATTTAACTATTTTAAAAAACCGATACAGATGTACATACACATATTTGAATTTATGTATCAGCTGAGTATTAAAATATGTGGTACATACAGTGGTCACTGTACAAAGTGTAGGACGAGACTACTATGTAGGCCGTGTAGGAGTCAGGACTCAGGATTGTATGGCTGTATGCCTGCAGGCTGCAGGCTTCAGGCTATGGGTAATTGGTTACAAATGACTTCACATTTTGCTCAAAGAAATAATTCATGTACTCTATAGAGAGGCTCCAGAGTTCAGACTTCACAATGTACATATGTATGTTCTTCAGTTTTGAGTTACTCTGAGGCGGCAGAGCCTCAGAGCCTTAGAGCTTAGGCCCTCAAACTTCAAACTCTGAGACCAGACTGCCAGAGGCCCAGAGCTTCAGTTTCTCGCAGCCTCAGACACTCGCAGACATTGAGAGGCTGAGACTGAGGAGTAAGGACTGAGAGTCTGAGAGACTGAGAGGTACAGACCTCAGTTAACCCTTATTCCCTCCACAGTCAGATACAGAACGGAGACTCGGGACTCGGGGCTCGGGAGTTAGATCATATGTCAAGCCGTTTTCAAAAAGGCACTGCCCCTATGTAAATATTAGATTAGGGGCTAGCGGCCGCCCAGTGGAAGCCTGGTCGAAGCACCTTTATTAGCCTGTAGCCTTAGTCTTGGGGCTTAGAGCACGCAACAACTTCACAGTTATATCACGTGTGTGTTGAGTTGTTGAGTTATGACTTGTTACTGTTGTTGTGTTCGCAGTTCGCAACACGATACACGACTACTCCTCTGTACTCTATATGCTACTCTAATAAAAGCAAGGAAAAATGTCCACCGTCCGAGTTCAGAAAAGCATTTGTCACCAAGCTAGGTACGAATCATTGCGCCAGAAAAAGTCTCCAAAATCGAGGCCGTAATGTACTTGCGAAATGATTGGATTTGAAATGTCAATTCACAATATTACAAGATCAATCTTCCGTGTGTAGAAAAACTGAAAAAGAACCAAAAAGCCAAAAATAAGGAAATATTTACATGAGTTATCTGATGGCAGTGCTGCTCGCACTACTAGTAGCAGTCACTGTATTTTTTTAGTATTTTACCAAAAAAACAAAACCCGAGTGAAAAGCGGGCAGCTTCCCAGGACCCAGTCCCTTCAAATCCAGGAATCTCTACTATAGCCCAGCCTCTCTTTCTTTCTCCTTCACATTTTTTTTACAAAAACAACAAAAGATAAATAGTAGTAGCAGCGATAGTAGTAGTACTAGTAGCAAACTCTCTAGCAATAGGCGATGCCACAGTCCACAAGTCCAAACCAAACTGGCAAACTCCAACCACAACAAGGCAACCATTCAACAGTCCGATTCCAAACCCAATGAAAAGAAACAAATATTTTCTAAATTTCCACAAACAAAACACATGACACAATACACAGGTTTTGAGTTTTCATTCCCGATGTTTTTAATTATTTTAATTATTATATTTGTTATGTAAAAAGTATTTTAAATTTCAACCCCAAAGGAGTCAAGGACAGACACAAGAAAGTCATTGGCTCTGGGTTTATACCCAATGAAATTTGAATAAGAATGACGTCTAAAAACTGAATACTCGTAGTCCGTAGAGGAAGAAAAACCAAAAGTGGGATTTTCTTTATTTAAATTAATCTGACATTAGCTCTGTAAAAAGAATATTGCCTGTAGGCTGCAGCTGATGGTGGAAAGTGGAAAGTGAGTCTGTGACTCAGGGGGACTCCTGTCGCGACAGTCTGGAATTAAAGTCGAAATTCTCTTGGCTATCAACTTCGAAGTTGTTAATCCGCCTGATCTTCTATGTTTATTTATGATACCACACAACACTTTCAACCGATCAGTTCATCGCACTTCGACATACAATACTTCGACATTGTTTTGGTACCTGCGATACAAAATCGACACCCTCACTATACATCATGCCTCCAATTCCACATAATCTTCAAAACCGTGAGCCGGTCCAGGTCGAGACCGGCCCCGGCGCCAAATCGCCACCAAACGGCACGGGTGTGCATCGCAGATCGTCCATACGAAGCACATCGACCTCACTGAGCCGCAACTCGAGTTCTAATTTTATATCACGCACATACAGTCGCGGTAGTAGCAGCAGTCTGAATAAGATCGCATTAGACGCACAAGTGCGCTATGCAAGTGTGAACGGCCACACAGCTGCATCGTACGTGGCCTATGCTGTGTCGGATATCAACTTCGTATACCCATCTGCGCCATCCGCTTACTTGGGGTCAGATGTCGATGAATGGCACGCGAGTGATGTCAAAAATGCTTACGGTCATACCGGAAAGCACTCCAAACTTCAGGTAAGTACGATACCAATCAAATACAATTATCTGTGCTCTCGGTTTAGTCAAGTATGTTTACTCGCGTCGTATTCGAGGGAAGCATGCCGTTTTTGAATAATGTGTTTCAAATTGCAGTACTAAAGTTTAATTTATTGTGCCGCAGAAAATTCGTTATTATATAGAAACTACGTATATTTACTTCTGACTTGGCGATACACTGGTGCACATATAGATAGATGTTATGGATACCGCGTGTACAGGTTTTAAGTATAAATTTATGCATCTATATATATGTATATGTGTGTTTTGAATGTGTATACGTGAGAACGTCCCGCATATGACTACATGTCGTACATTTCTAAAAAACTAACTACCGACTGAGCACAATTTGTAAAAAAAAAATCATGAATATGATATTACTCACGGGACGTTAAATAAGATGGAGTTCTGATATTTATTTATTTTTATGAAATTATAGGTGAAGGCTGGTGCTGGTTTGGTCCTCCACGGTGCTCTATCTGTGGGAGAGCTCGGTACAGTCTATGCCGCATCCGACGCTATTAAATTTATGCTACCAACCATACATTACTTAGCAAACAGTCAGCTATCAAGCGTGATGCATTTTGATACAAAATCACTCGGCGACGACCTGACTGTTAACGTGAACCACACACAAATCATGTTGGCTCGCAATACCGGAGCTGTTATCTTGAGTTCGCACTCGGTGCAGGAAACCCACGATATCGCACTAATTGCACACATCCTTACCCTACGTGGTAAAGTGCCAGTAATGCACATGATAGACGGATCCAACACAGCACGGGAGACGTCACGTGCACGCCTGTTGCAGTACGGCGAGATCAACTCACTAATGAACAAATATGGCGATCTCGAGAGACACCGCGAGCAGTCCAACTCTGCACGCCACCAGCCTGTGACGGGCTCAACCCATAACTCGTCCGAGACTACCGCACAGATCGCCGAGGATGTTATGCGTGAGGTATCAGATGCCTTGGGTGTGCGCTACGCACCCTTCGAGTACGTAGGGGCCCGTGACGCCGAAGTCGTGGTGGTGGTAATGGGCTACCCCGCCCAGGTCTTCTCCGAAACAAGTCGTCTGTTGTGCAGTGTAGGTCGCCCTGTGGGTGTGCTTAAGATCCGTATGTACCGCCCCTGGTCCGCCCGGCACTTCGTGTCCGCGCTACCCGTATCCGCCAAGCGGCTGGTGGTTATGGACTTCACATCACCCCAGGCATCAGTGCACGTACCTGGTGCTCTGTTCTTGGATGTTTTGGCTACCGTGGAATCCCAGATCTACGGCACTAAGAAACCTCAGGTGTTGCAAGGCAAGGCCTCTGTGGCAACATTCACACCGGCGATGGCCAAGGCCGTCTTTGACTTTGCGGCACACCAAACACGTACATCGTTCACTATTGGACACGAAGGTGCGTCAGCGTACGAGCTAGAAATTGAAGGGGATGTATCGGCTGTGCCCGAGAATGTGAGTCAGGTGCTGGTATGGCAAAAGGAGAGCGACAACCTGCTCGAACCCATGAACAACCTGCTCTCCACGCTATGTGACGGCTCCGACACATTCGTACAAAGCAACACATTCTACGATGCGTACAAGCATGGTGGGGTATCCACCTCTCACATCCGCTTGGGTCCCTCACCAATCAACGCCCCTTATCCTATCGGCGAGGCTAACCTTGCGATCGTGTCGAGCTCATCCCTGCTAGAAGCGTACGATGTAGTGGCTTCGTTGCGAACGGGAGGTGTACTTTTAATTAACGCCAGCGTCGAGAGTGTCGACGAGAAGAGCGACGAGCTTCCTACGCTTTTCAAGCAGGAGGTTCTGAACAAGGAAATTTCAGTATATACCATCGATTTTGAAAAGATAGTGCGAGAGAGCGGATTAGAGCACGAACATGAGGCCACGGCTATGGCAGTTGCTCTGATTACTTCAATTGTTCGTTTGGCTGGGCTTGCTTCTTTCGAGGCCACCCTTGTTGATCTTCGCACTTGTCTGGATGAGAAGGCAATCGACAGTGAAGTGTTCGAACGCCAAATACAGATTCTGGAACAGGTGATCGAGAGCGGACTAGTGTTGCAAAAGATTCCGGAAAGTTGGGGAGAGGTACCTTTGCCTCTTGAGATCAAAGAGGGCGAAGATGTACCCGAGGTTCTGGCTTTACCTACCGCGGTAGCCGGCAATTTGCTACCCAGCACTGGATACAAGTACGAGGAGCCGAAAACTCATGTGCACTCGAAGTCTCACCACGCAGCATGGATGGGTATGTTCTCTGAGGCCTATCAGACCAGGGAAGCACTCCGCCCCTCAGAGCACACATCGTATGTGGTCACGTGTACCGAGAACCGACGCCTGACACCCGACGACTACGAGAGGAATGTCTTCCATATGGAGATGGACATTACTGGCACTGGTTTGGTGTACAATATTGGAGATGCACTTGGTGTTTGGGGATCCAATGGAGATGACGAAGTGAATGATTTCCTACAGTTCTATGGTCTGAACGGTGATGATGTTGTCGGCGCTGCTCGAGCTCCGTCCGGTCACCATGCTGATGAGGCAATCGCGAACGCCAACGTGGAGTACAGAACTATTACGCACTGGCTGCAACAAGTGACTGACCTATTCGGCCGACCTGGTAAAGGATTTTATGAAGCCTTAGCTGAATACGCTGAAGATCCGGATGAAAAGGCGGAATTACTGCGACTAATTGGAGACACGGGCAAACCTGATTTCAAGAAGAGGGTGGAGGAGACGGTTACATACGCTGATGTATTGAGGGAGTTCCCCAGTGCGCACCCCTCAGTGGAGGATTTGATCAAGCTCATTGCACCCATCAAACCAAGGCACTATTCTATTGCTTCGTCGCAGCGCATGCACGCAAACTCAGTGCACTTACTGGTCGTGGTACACGACTGGCAGACACCCGCAGGCAGACATCGTATCGGTCAGTGCACGCGCTACCTGGTGGGTGTACGCCCTGGAACCAAGATGACCGTGTGTGTAAAGCCGTCGGTGATGATCTTACCGCCCAGGCAGACACAAGCATGTATCATGTCCGGCTTGGGAACGGGTATGGCACCCTTCCGCGCGTTTATACAGGAGCGTGCGTGTGCTAAGCTAGCTGGAGAAGAGGTTGGTCCTATGATCTTGTACTTCGGGTCACGTTCAAGGGGACAGGAGTACCTGTACGGAGAGGAGTTAGAGGCTTACCATGCGGATGGTCTGCTCAGCGGCCTTCGTCTGGCGTTCTCGCGAGATCAACCCCATAAGGTAAGTACATGTCAGATTAGTCTATTCTGCTGTACATGGTCTCAGTAAAATGTATTGTACTTGTTCTTCCCGCTTACGCACCTGCTTCACTTTTCACCTATCAGATATATATTCAGCACAAGATGATGGAGGACAAGGAATACCTCAACGAATACCTTAACAACAGCGACGGACACTTCTATCTGTGCGGCCCTACATGGCCTGCGGGCGATGTTCGTGATGCTATTGTTGGCAGTTTCGTGGAAGCCGGTGGTCTGAGTGAGGCCGCGGCGACCATGACCCTACAGAAACTTAAGGATGATGAGAGATATATCCTCGAGGTGTATTAAATATAGTGATAAAAAACTCATGAAAAGAAATAAATTCAAATTGAAAGTACTTTGAGAATTAATCAAGTATGCATCATTGTTTGCCTAATGCTGCAGTCCTTTTTGGAGCTAATGAAAGATCATATGTTTCAGTCCTCCAAGGCTAGTCAAAGATCATATGTTTCGGTTCTTTAGGGCCAGTTAAAGGACCACATGTTTTAGTCCTCTAGGGCTAGTGAAGGATCTTATGTTTCAGTCCTTTAGGGCCAGTGAAGGACCATATGTTTTAGTCCTTTAGGGCTAGTGAAGGATCATATGTTTCAGTCCTCTAGGGCTAGTGAAGGATCTTATGTTTCAGTCCTTTAGGGCCAGTGAAGGACCATATGTTTTAGTCCTTTAGGGCTAGTGAAGGATCATATGCCTCAGTTCTTTATCGCTAGTGAAGGATTAAATGTTCTAGTTCAAAATACCTTTTCGTGTGGTAAAGAGTATAGAACCTCAGGCAACACTGCATAAAACACGCATAGCAAGATTTACTTCGTCTGTATCTTCAAGCTCGACTGAGACGTAACAGGCCCAGAGTGCACATACACACCCATTCTATCTGGTTAGCAGCCACTATAGGTCTAAAATGAGATCTACCTCAATGTACGGCTCTTAAATGATTGAACGCGGTATTCAGAACAATTTGCAAGCCCACCACTGCGTAACAACAGTTTGATCGTATATATGTTGCGCATACCCGCGCTCAGGTGTGCATTTATACGATTTTATTTAATTATATATATAATTAGTAAATATAAGCTCTACACAATCGAAGATATGGGCGGTAATTCAACTATCACCGTTTATATCCATGTGGATTTTGGTCGCAGTTCGATTCCTGAGAATACAGAGTAAATCATTCTTATCTGAATGACGCTTGTATGCGCCCTACTGATTAGTAGTAAGCGTTGTTCATATATAAGTTGTGCTAATAAGGTACAGTGTAGTCTGCACGCCAATGCAGTTTATTAGCTTTGTACAAGACTAATGCATACGAATTGTAATCTCTAATTTAACTTAGCGCTAGCAGGGCTGCACATGGTACTAGGCACCTGTACAGTGTATGTGTAACACGACGAGCACGGTGAGTACTAAGGTATATGTATACGTACGTGCACACTCCCGCATCATGTCTACAGCAGCGGTCCTATGCAACTTCATCAGAGATCTGTACTGTGATGGGGACAGCTAGAATCTTTTGTTGTGCATATGCGGAATACAGGCCATGTATCTATTGTAGTACGTATACAGACTTCAGACTGGAAAACAATCATTGGGATCAGGCTCGTGTCCTTTACCAATGGGTTTGGGTTGTGTCTAACGCTAGCTTACGTTTGCCCCTATCACCAGCAGCGCCTGTTAACACCAATTATACGCCTCAGCCGTAGAATCATAAGCAGCAGACCAATACCTAAGAAGTTGAACAAACCTGTTAGCTCCCCGGGCGGAGTGCTCGAATAAGTAACAGTTGTAGTAGCCTGGAGTGGCACGGAGTCGATACATGAGCTCAGGAATAACAGTGACTCGCTTGAAGCGTCGAGAAACGAGACGGCTTTGAACATATTGGATGGCGGCCGTTCGGATATTCGGCCGCGACGACCACTTTAGAAGGTACACTCTGTATGTCCAGCTGTATTCGTTCAAGTGAGGTACATCGTACACGTACGCATATCATTAGGTGACCCCTTCCGAGCGCACAATTCGGTGCACCACCGCCGACCTTTGCCACCCACACTGTCGCGCACGAATCAACCCGTACGACAACGCACCGGCCTATCACCACATACCAGACAAGTAAGGTTGTCGTACGCCAGCAGTGTAACCAGCGGGCCGCACCCTAAGTAGGACGTGTCTTGTTCGCCTAGTACCATCCCTAATGGCACAGATAGATATACAATCACAGCATACCCTCGGCCTGACCCACCCCAAACAGACTCGCCCAACTGTGTCACTAGCATGCATAGGTAGACCATCTGGCATACACACAACCAGCCACCCCAGAACGGGCGTAAGCTATTGTATCACCGAAGCTCGTGTACTCGTGTCTATTGCATACTTGTCGTATCCCACACGCGTTGCATCCCAGGCGGCACACTTGTCGGTTTGCAGGCATAGACTTGCTGCCTTGTCGGATTAAGGGTGCAGACTTGACAAGCATAAACATGTGGGATTGCATAGGCAACCAAACGGGCGCTGCAGCTATCACGCATTCAGCCAGTCAAGCCATCTAAGTGCGATCCACGCTCCTGTGAGTTGCACACTAATTAAGCGATAAAGTGCCGTAGAGTGGATATGCTGTATACTACCACCATTCTCAAGTGCAGCAACCCTTACAATAGACTATACTGAATGCATCGACCGCCGCCAAGCTGTCACGCGGACTTAACCCGAAACAAAGAAGTACGACCCCGTGTCAACGAAGTACGACCCCATGTCAACGAAGTACGACCCCATGTCCAACGTACGGCTTGTTCATGTCGTATCGTGCAGTGATATCGGTCAACCTGTGGTCCCTGTGCTGGTTTCTGACATGATTGGACATGATCCTAATCTCCCGATCAAAGCGAGTAGTCCTGTTGTGGATCGATTCGACATCGTCTTATTCATGGGTCCTCGGATTCTATGTCTGTGACTCGTTGCACCGTTGCCTTACGTCTGACACCGTGCACGTGAAGTCTCAGAACTGACGCCGATTCCCTACCACCCCATCCGGTCATCTCATACAATAACATGCTTCTCTCGTGATACCAATATATATCTCTGAGGGAAGTAAGCGTGTAACTAATAGTAATAGCACATACCAACTCCCTCCCCGTCCCCGGTGTCTGTCCGATCCAATACATAATCCTACCGAACGCAGCCCGTCTCTCGCACAGTTTTCTCTTCCGATACCGTCAGCGTACGTGTATCTCCAATACATACTACTACCCCCTGCCTCTCTCTCTCTCTCTATCTCTCTCTCTCTCTGCCGACACACACCCACCCACCGACTGCCTACCCTATCCTATACACACTCACAATAGAATCAGCACCACCGGCTGCCAGAACCGTCTCGTGCGGATGAAATGTGAGGCAATTGACCGGGCCTATGCGTTGGCCTAAGAAGCCTTCGTGGTATTGCACTGTCGACAGCGGTCGCCCGTCTGCTTGGTACGAGAGTACCAGTTCTTGGAACCTCGTGCCGCTATGGTTGGGAGAGGGAATATTGTCATCAGCTATGGAGTTGGGACGTTATATCCAAGGAACATTTATGTGAGAAACTCTGAGGCGTGTACAACTAACGTAAAAACGTAAAAAGTAAAGTAATTGATAATCTCCCATGCGTGTACAACTATCGTAAAAACGTAGAAAGTAAAGTAATTGATTTCAGGCGTATACAACTAACGTAAAAACGTAAAAGGTAAAGTAATTGTTAATCTCTCAGGCGTGCATAACTTACGTTAAAATGTATAAATGTAAAATGAAAAATGAAGAGACTCGGCGTGTACAACAATCATTAAAATAAACCCGTGAAAATCCGCACTATCGTCGGCATCGTGCCACATCATATAGAGCGGGATACCGGACACTCACACTCAGGCGCGTGATGGCTTCGAGCATGGTCTCAACCATGCCACGAACGAACGGATGTAACACCAAGAGTCCATGCCATGGATAATGTCATACGGGGTATACAGCATACGAAGCGTGATTAAAGGACTTGCGTTTGCACGATAACACGTTTATAAGACATGTCGCATGCGTGTCTTCGAACGCCCTGTTTTGTATCCCCACCCCCACCAAACAGTCATTGACACAAACAACCCCCCAATACACAAGTGTTCATTGACACAAACAACCCCCAATACACACGAGATCATTGCATACCTCGCAATCAACGGCGCATAGTTGTGGATGGCCAGTGCAGACATCTGTTGATTCGGCGAGTGCGCAACGGACGACAAAACATTATGTCCCTTTCGCAGGTCCCACTGCTTGATCGCCCCATCAACACTGCGATACCAAATAAAAATAACGTACATATATGTAAACATATGTGTGGTGTGCAGAGAAGTCCGTTTGTAAGTGTTATACCAAGTCGTGGCCGTGGTGATGGTTCTTACCCGAGGGTTTAAACCCGGCCCTCTCGAGTGACAGGCACACCCGTGTCACGAATCTATCCAAGGTATATAAACCCAAATGTCAAATAACACTTGTATGGGTTGGTTCGTTCGTTCGTTTTCGTCAAAGCCCACGATTGCCCGCTATGCAGTTCCGCTTCGCAGTTTGTGAGTTTCAGCCGGAAACCCCCTATATATGAATATACAAGACCCCCCTGAACAACTGTTGGACTTGTCTGTGTACACACAATCTGTGTAGATGTGTAATGTGCGTAAATATGTATTCAACCAGTACGCGCAGTCAAGTGAAAGTGTGCAGATACTGAGAGGACTGCTCAACACTCGAGCCCCCAACTCGATGAGCTGAAAGATCTAGACACGTGTGCATGAAGATCACATAGATGTTAATAAGTGTCAATGTATATATTACTTAGGTTCTCTTGTTCTCTGTGAATCGATTCAATCATAGTGTGAAAGTCTTCCCACCTGGTGAAGTGCATGACATGCAGCGTACACACCAGAGATACCCACATCAATAGAGTCCGATTGTGTTTCGATAATAGTGAATTATTAAAGTGCATAATATACCAAATACGCCCCAAAAAAATAGACACAATCATGGTATGTAACCTCAGGGATAGACACACTAATAGGGCCCGACTGTGTCTCGATTAGAGAGGATTATTGGGACATACACCGTGATACAACTGGAGAGCACCAGTGAGCAATCATGATGTACAGTTTTACTGTAAGCTGATAGACAACTTGCAAGCTGGGGGCACCCCAAGATCAGCCGCGGGAAGAATAATATGAACACTCCTTCTTCAACTATCCGAACAAATACTGTACACCTGTGTGTGCTCATAAATATTGATATATACAGCTCAACATAAATATGTTTGTAATAGTAGCCTGATCATAGATCTTACCTGCCAGACACTAACATGCCATTAGAGTTAGATTGAATTCTGGTCTTTAGCACCCATGACTGGTGGTCCGATAAGGTCATCACCGCGCGACTGTTGCGCACGTCGTACAGGCAAACTGAGCCTGAAAGCGCGTTGAGAGTAGAGCAAGTGTGTTATGTATGTTTCCACCTGTATATGTGGTTGTACCAGGCGTTCTACAGACAAAACGAGCCTACGAAAGTGTTATTAAGACGCGAGGAGACGTGTTTTAGCCTGTATACATACACACATAGTTCAACCGTAGTATCGGCTCCTTCTGAGATATGTAGTGGTGCAGTGCCTCCATGTGCGCGCGCATTCGCTAGAGCTGCTATACCACCATACAAAAAACACTCATGAAATTCTGACGCATAGTCACGTCCACTTCCGAGTATATAAACTGCGCGCCCCCACACAAGTGACGATAAGTCCATTTGTACAACATTCAGGTCCATCCATCTGGGCAAACCGGCCCCAATATGTGAGAGAGAGAGAGAGAAAATACCTACCCGAGCCAAACCCGCACACCAGCAGCGACTCGTGAAAGGGAGCGTGGGACAACGAGCTCACACACACGCTATCACTGCCTGTCTCTATCAGCTGTGTGCACTTCTCATATGCGGCGTCCCATAGGGAGACCACGGACCAATCTCCGGCACTGACGAGCATCTCAGAATGGGCGCACCAGTCAATCAGCATACCCGCTTCTTTGGCGGCGAAACAGGGCACGTCGGCCAACCCTCGCCACGCCGTGACTATCTCTTGCGCACCTGTATTATGAAGCGATGGTCCGATTTAGTGGGAAACATATGAATTATAGACAAGTTACATTGTACATGCAATCATATCTATTTATATACTTATA